GAAGACTTAAAGATTCATAATTGTTTTTCAACATACCTGATCATCTATGAAAATGACGTCCGATGGCCATGCAACAAAAGATCCTATTGCATCTCGCAGCAATGTGGTCTCAGCAACAGTGTCAGGTACCGGCAGCAACGCATCCATATCTAAAGCAATGTCAACCGATACTTTCATGTGTCCATCCGGAAGCGGTCTATGGTGAAGTAAATCTCCCGAAGTGTTATAGACTTTTCCCTTGCCAACTAGTCGATAAGTCGGCGACGATAGGTATAGCTGGCAAGATGAAATGCCCTAAACCAATAATAACCGTTAGAAGTGACTAAAAATATTCTATAATAATAACGGATATATATTGAAAATTACCTCGGGAAATTTATGCTGACAGTTGATACTAGCTTTGTCACTAGTTTCTTTCAATTGTGAACTGCTCTTTTCCGCCATATATCTCTCTTTATCCTTCTGCAATTCACGGACTTGAGCTTGTAAATCCTGCAATGTTTGCATCACTTCTGCATTGCTAGGATTTCTTCTGTAATTCATTTACATATAAAAATTATTAGTGGAGATAAAAAATTATTTAAATATTAATAAACATTAATTGATTTAACTAAAGACATAATCTTATACTTACAAATTCATCATACACATGTTGAATATCGGGATTAACAGCTTGATCCTTGCCCACACGGGCTTCCTTCCACAACAAATGTGCTGGTAGTGATGTTGCGTCACTTTTCGTCTCTTCTAACTACGCAATGACACAAGTCTTAAGATCATCAACTATAACACATTGAGAGAATTAATAAGATCGTAGAGTTTATATTTACTTACAATTTTTTCCTCTAAGCGAGCATATCCCAAACGCCCTTTTTTGGTATGGATATGCGGGTTTTGACGCTCTCTCGCGATTGATAGCACTCACTTTCTTGAAATTCTCGTCTCTTCTTTGGCCTACAAAACCAACCCATTCTTCAGGTGTAATGAATTTCTCATATTTCTTTGGACGTTCCGGATCCTCTTCAAGAAAATTTCCTTCATCATCTTTAAGATACTTGTTTGTTAAAAATGTTCTCCACCCTCTGTGTCTTTTTCCAGCCAAACCCATTATATACTTTTTACGGGTATCTTCAATGTTAAAAGACCTCTACAAAAAAACATACGCATAAAGTGTGTTAGTAAAAGAAATTTAAACACATATTATCGTCAAGATAAAGCAAATAAAAAAAACCATATATGTACCTTTATCTCAATCCAAACTTTCTCCTTAGCCTCATCCAACTCTCCTCTTTTCCATCTAGGAGTGGTGATCGGAATGTGTATACGAACAAGCGTACCAATGTAGCTTGTCAACTTTGCAGCATTAGACCCAATTAGTTGGTCATTATCATTCCAATCTACATTATATGTTACTCCTCTATCTCTATCACGAATGATTCCCCTCATAATAGTTATACCTCGTGTAATATCTTTTTCTGAAGTCTTTCTGAAGTATTTTCTGGAGTATTTTCAGGAGCATTTTCAGGAGCATTTGCATCTTTTGAGTTTTCTTGATTACTAGCCATTTGACCTGTAATAATGAAAAAAAATAAAAATGAAATGACAAATATAAAAATGAAATGGCTAATAAAAATGAAATTACAAATAAAAATGAAATGACAAATAAAAATGAAATGACAAATATAAAAATGAAATGACAAATAAAAATGAAATGGAAAATAAAAATGAAATGACAAATATAAAAATGAAATGACAAATAAAAAATGATAGTGACAAATAAAAATGAAATGACAAATTAAATTTTATTGAATGATATAGGCTATAATTATATATATTATTACCCTTTTCACTAAGGTCTCTTTCTTTTCTTGGTAGGAATGTGTTCTACTCGTCTCTTAACAATGCGGACAGTTGGATTGATCCAAATACCCTCATTATGATCGTTTCTAATACATGATTCATTATCATTTTGATCAGTTATGGTTAAAGATTCAATTTCAACACCAATATCACTTTGATCTCCAATGCTTTCATCAATTACTTTGTTAGATAATAGCACTATAGACCATTTCGTACTTGTCGGATCATTGACATAGAACACTTGTTTAGCTTGAGAGGCTAGAATGAAAGGCTCATCTTTGTACCCCACCCTATTAAGATCCACTTGCAAAAAACGTGACTTATCCATTCGTATGCCATTATTATTTTCAACCCACTTGCAACCAAATATAGGAATCTGAAACTTCTCGTAATCAAACATCCAAATGCGCTCGATAACCCCAAAATATGACAGATTTGCAAATTTTGGGTTTAAGTCCTTCACACTTGATATATGCATTGCTTCAGCGATCAAGGTGACACCACTATTTTGCATAGTACTTTTGTCATCCTGTTCTTTGGTATAAAATGTGTATCCATTAATTGCATATGCGCTATAAGAAAACACAACTAAACTTGGACCGTTATGCTAAACATCTCAATCTTTCTGTTACTGAAGCATGATCTGAACGATACTTTGAATAAATATGTTCCTTAAACCATGGTATGAAACTTCGATTATGCTCTCGTACAATCCAATTCTCATTTCTATTCGGATTTAAACCTCGAAGAACACCCTTGTGAATTTCAACATACGGCTCAACTTCAAGCTCATTATGCAGAACATACAAATGCACTTGATCCCGTTCGACCATTGATACTGTCACAACTTTATTTCCAATTAGCTTCTTACCTTCTTTTTTTTCAACAACATGAGATTTGGGGAGTCCAATTGATTGAACATTTGACAAATATTCAGTACAAAACTCAACCGCTTCTTCAACAATATATTGTTCAGCAATACAACCCTCTGGTCGACTTCAGTTTTTCACATACCCTTTTAATATTTTCATATAACGTTCAGTAGGGTACATCCATCTCATATAAGCTGGTCCGCACAGTTGTGTCTCTTTGACAAGATGAACGACAAGATGAACCATTATGTCAAAAACGAGGAGGGAAATACATTTCAAGATCACACAAAGTAACAACTATTTCTTTTTGCAATGTTGGTAAGATCTCAGGATCGATCACCTTGCTGCAAATTGACTTGAAGAAAAAACACAGTTTAGTTATTGCGCTTCTTACTTTTTCTGGAAGAATAGAACGTATACCTATCGGTAGAAAATGTTCCATTATAACATGGCAATCATGCGTCTTTAAACTCTTTAACTTGAGATCTTGCATAGACACAAGTCTTCTAATATCTGATGAGTAGCCTTCTGGAACTTTAACCTCACTTAGGAACTTACACAATATTTTTTTCTCCTTTCTGGATAGAGTGTAAACAGCAGGTGGTAGATATGTTCGTCTTCCTTTTTTCACGGGTCCTAATTCAGTTCTTATTCCCATCTCTACCATGTCCTCCCTTGCTTTAAGACCATCCTTAGACTTCCCTTTTATATTGAGTAACGTACCAATAACACTGCCAAATACATTTTTTTCAATATGGCATAACATCAAGAAAATGTCTTACGTACAAAGATTTCCAATATGGCAATTCAAAAAAAAATCGACCTCTTCTTCCACCCACCTGTAACAACTTTATGTGCAAAAGGCTTTCCAAACTGAATACTCACATCTTTCACCTTTTCAAATAATTGATCACCTGTCAATCCAGGCGGAGCTCTACGTTGTTCGGTATCTCCGTTGAACGCTTTTCTCCATCCACGATATTGATGTTTAGAATTTAAGAATCTACGATGACCGAGAAATACATTCTTCTGACAAAGTTTAAATCGCATTGTATCGGTTCCATCTTCACAGATAGGACACGCTTTTTCACCTTTAATGCTATACCCGAATAGATTTTCGTAGGCTGGAAAATCGTTAATTGTTCCAAACAACATCGCCCTCAAGTTGAAACTTTCTTTCCTATACCCATCATAAACCTCCACACCGTTCTCCCACAAAATCTTCAAATCTTCGATTAAAGGTTCCAAATATACGTCTATGTCATTTCCTGGTTGTTTAGGCCCAGAAATTAACATAGATAACATCATGTACTTACGCTTCATACATAGCCACGGAGGTAGGTTATAAATCATAAGAATCACAGGCCATGTGCTATGCGAGATACTTTGAATACCGTGTGGGTTCATTCCATCAGTAGACAATGCCAAGCGAAGGTTTCTTGCTTCTTTTCCAAATTCAGGATAATCATTATCAATTTTCATCCACTGTGGTGAATCTGCCGGATGTCGAAACTTTCCATTAACAATTCTTTCATCTGCATGCCAAGTTAAGTGTCTTGAATCGGTTTCACTATGATACATCCGTCTAAATCTCGGAATTATAGGAAAATACCATAAGACTTTTGCCGGAGACAACTTTTTCTTATATCGAGGGGCACCACATTTAGGACACTTATTTAACGATGCATACTCGTTTCGAAACAAAACGCAATCTTTTGGACAGGCATGTATCTTGTCATAGCTCATGCTAATAGAGTACAACATCTTTTTGGCCTCATACGTTCGATTGGGGAGAACATTATCCTCTGGTAGCATATCTTTCATAAGGGCTAATAACTCTGTGAAACTTTTATCCGACCATCCATTGCCCGCCTTTAAGTTGTACAACTTTAATACCGCAAACAATCCTGTGAATTTTGTACAACCATTATACAACGGTTTCTCTGCATCGCTTACCAACCTCTCGAACATTTTGGGACAATCATTAAGATCTTCTTCAAGCGCTTCTGCAATCTCTTCAACTCGATCATAATTGTATGTATCTGTGCCATTGTCGTTTGAAGCATAGGTCCTATTATCCCCCGATTCATCATTCCCGTCACTTTTCTC